GGCCTTTTCATTGTGTTCTAAGATCTTTATTTTTTTAATATGCCATTTCATTTTATTGTATTATCTGATTTCTCTCATTACTATTGAAACCCTAATACTCTACCTTCATTACTCATTATGTTGTTGAGGTTTATCACTGAACTTTTTTTTTTGACTTACTGAGGTTGTTTTTAATTTCCAGCTTAATTTCAGTTTGGGGTTTCCTCAATATCTCGGTATCTTTAATTATATCCTTGTATTATACAATGTCCTACTTATTTTATTCAGCTATTTCTATATACCTGGGCTTCAATCAGTTTATTCCTACCCATTTAAGTTCATTCAAATGTTTATGTCATTTGAACTCTTTGAACATTTTTAAAATTATTTTTTGAACTATGTTCACCTAAGTTGTCCTTTAGTGACTATTGCTATGAAATTGGTGATTCATTGGGAGGCAATATATTGGTGAGGTTTTTGTTTTGTTTTCAGTTCTGGGCCTTTTTCTCCCATATTTCTTGGTTCTTAAGATGGGATCTGGACATCTGGAGTTACATTGTTGGTTGTGGCTTCTGATAATGGGATTTCAGGCCCAGAATGTAGTCTACCTGAGCTTCTAATAACATTCCTTCATTGCTGGAGGTCCTGAGCAGCCGTCAGGTTAGTAGCTGCAGATTACAAAGATGGAATGGGGCAGGGATAAGATATGTGGTCCCTGATATGTGACTGTTGAAAGTTTGGGTAATTCTGAGTATGGAAGATCTGAGAGGTCATTTGCCAAGGTCTCCATGTCTTATATGGTAGCAGAAGGATCCCTAATAGGTAAAAGTGAGATGTTTAGAAGTCTAGAGATGGAAAGGTGCAAGATGGAGAGATGTAGGGTTCATTAGTGGACGAAAAGATAGGACTTTGGGAATCATGATGGAGAAAGGCCAGGAGTCTGACTTGTGAGTCACTTTCCTAGATTTCCATGTCTCCTGGGGTAGATTCTTGGGCCCTTTTCGGGAAGTGGATGGTTGTTGCTGCCGGTTTCTTTCCAGCCAGGTCTTGCTGTCCTTCTCGTTCCCAAAGAAACACAGGGACCCTATATTAGTTATAAAACTGTTGGCCAGCCGGGCGTTGGTGGGGCACGCCTTTAATCCCAGCACTCGGGAGGCAGAGGCAGGTGGATCTCTGTGAGTTTGAGACCAGCCTGGACTACCAAGCGAGTTCCAGGACAGCCTCCAAAGCCACAGAGACACCCTGTCTCGAAAAAAAACAAAAACAACAACAACAAAAAAACTGTTGGCCAATTACTAGGGCTTCTTATTGGATAGCTGTCTTAATTATAAGCCATTTCTATGAATCTATGTATTTCCACGTGGTCTTATCTTACCAGAGAAGGGTCTGGACCTGCTACTCCTTTGTGATCTACATGGTGACTGTTTTGGCAGGCTCCCTCTGCCTATCTTTCCCAGAATTCTCCTCATCTCCTACCCCCGCCTATCTTCTTGCCTCTACTGGCTATAGGCCAAACAGTGTTTTACTCATCAACAAATAAGAGAAGCATATATGCAGAAGGACATCCCCCATCAGTGAGTGATTTATGGGGTCCTAGGAAGTAAGGACCTGAACGTGAATGTGTAGGTCCACTTGCCAGGGTCTTTGACCTGGAGAGGCATCTAGAAAATCCTTAGCTGGGAGTAGTCACTGCTTTGTAGAATAATGAGAGGAGGGAGTTGGAGAAAGAGGCATGGGGTCGTGTCTGGGTTGTGGCAGAGTTTTGAGGACTCTCACACAAAATGGACCAGAAAAGAAAAATGATATGTGGTTCCAAATGAGCAGCAGGAAGGACTTAGTCCTGTCACAAGTGAAGAGGAGCATGAAGAGGAGGCACCAAGTGCCTTCCTGCGTATCTGAACCTCATGGGACAGCTAGAAGATCAGACAACACTTTCTTTTCTAAGAATAATATTTTATTAATTCTTTGAGAATTTCATGCAATGTCTTTTAATCATATTCACACACCCTTCTCAGCTCCTCCTAGGTCCACCCCACTATCTCTACCTACCCAATTTAGCACATGATGTTTTTTAATTAGTGGAGGCCAATTATGAGTATGAGACCTTCCTGAGAGAGTAGGCTTACCAGGAACCACACCCTTAATAAAAATACACTTTTCTTTATCGGGTCATCCAGTGATAAAATACTTGACATTTTTACTTTTTAATAATTAGAATTATATTGCTATGCACCTTTGCTACTGGTGTGTGTGTGTGTGTGTGTGTGTGTGTGTGTGTGTGTGTGTTTCAGATTACTGGAATATGAATGGAATGACTGGATGATATAATTCTATATTTGACTTTTTGAGGAACAACCAACATTTTATCCATACTGACTGAGACCTTTACATTCTTACCATAATGTGTAGAGTTCTAATTTCTCCAGGTCTTCACCAATAATTTTTGCTTTAATTTTAAAAAAAACGTACTTTGATCATAAAAGACCTAATATTTTGACTTGTATTTTCCTGATGGTCTACAATAATGAAGCTTATTGGCTACTTGTTTATTGATTTGTTTTTTATTTTGTTTTTTTTCTTATCTTTTATTAGTTCTTTGGCAGTTTTGTACAATGCATCTGTCTATATTCATCACGCATACACACATTTCCTATCCAGTTAGGGTTTCTACTGTTGAGATTAATTAAACAGCATGACCAAAAGCAAGCTGGGGAGGAAATCATCTGTTTGGCTTATTCTCCCACATCATATTCCATCATTGAAGGAAGCTGGGACAGGAACTGAAGCAGGCATGGAACCTGGAAGTGGGAGCTGGCGTAGAATCTGGAGGCAGGAACTGATGAAGAGGCCGTGTAGATGCACTGCTTACTAGCTTGTTCCTTGTGGCCTGCCCACTCCGCTTCCTTATAGAACCCAGGACCCCCAACCCAGGTGTGCCACCACACACAATGGGCTGGACCCTCCCCCATCAATACTAATTAAGAAATTGCTCCGCAGGGTGGCCTCCAACCTGATCTTTTGTAGGCATTTTCTCAATTGAGGTTCATTACTCTCAGATGACTCTAGCTTGTGTCAAATTGACGTAAAAACAACCAGAACACTTTTCAAATCTATCCTTATCAGTACTTAGCCAATTTAGTGTCTTTCACTAAATCCGTCAAGACATATTTGTGCTTATATGTGTGGCGTTATGCTGGAGTGTAATGGACTTACTAGGTCTACAGGGGCTACACTCTTAGAGAAAAATGATTCTCCCTCTCTCATTAGCTAACACTTGCCATTAGCTTCTAGGCTATGGGTGGGACTTCAGGCCAAAATCCTCTGTGCATGCTGTCTTTGGCATGTCTTGGACTTAACGTGTTCCTGAAGATGTTCTGCTTGCTGAAAGAGGAGGAAGGTAATCAGCGCTCCTACCCAGCTGTGAACCTTTTAATCTGGAGTAATACCTGGCCTGGTAGAGCACACACATTGCTGAGCTAGTGGCATGAACAGCGCGTGAGTAACCAACAACTCTCTGATTAGATTTAAATGCTGCTCCACAAATGAAATCCACACACCACACTATTGTCGGGACATGAACCTACGGATAAACTGGCGATAAGGGAGCTCCACCTATTATTCTGTGAAATGGACATAGTACCAATCGAATAGCTAGTAATGCATCAGTATACCTACAGATCCATGTATCTCTCAGTCCTCATCAAAGAAGTGCCTATTTGTAGTAGATGATGATTAAAACAGACGCCCACACCGCATATGGATTACTTACACGGTATTTTCCATTCAAACTGTTGTCTGCTCTTGGGTTAGAGCTGCTCTGAAATGTTTGATAAATGTTTTTTTGAATGACAAAAATTAGGGGAATTGTTAACTGTATTCTATTATACACTTTCCTAATTAAAGTACCTGCTTGTCAATTTCATGTCATATTATAGCTCTATCACATAGAACACTTCTTTGATTTTTTCATTATTTCTCACCCTCCTCAAAATTAAGAGACCCAGTTTTAGCCTAGAGCTAGATATCATATATGTAAAATATTATAACAATAAATACAACTTTCCCAATAAGCATTTCAAAGTCCCATGCCTTTAACGAGTTTGCTGTGTGGACATACATCTGTGGAAAATTAACTGATATGAATGGAGATAGAAAGCTGTATATGTAAAGGCAAGACTCATAAAATTTTTTCTTTCTTCATTCTTAAATGATTTTACCAACAGACAACTGAAGTTACTTAGGAAATTTGCCCTCCTTTATAAATAATAGCAATAAAAATGATGTATTAGAATGTAAACATGTGTATTAAAATATTAATTAAAAAGAAAAATGTAAGTTTGTACACACCACATGCTTGCAATTACAGACTGAGGATAATATACCTCAAATACTTTGGACCAAATATAAATGAGAGTTCATAGGTTTTTCCTTCTGATTTTGGAACATTTGGGAACTCTTTAATGCTTCAGTATCACTAACCTCAAAATCTGAATTTAAAAAAAATGAACTGAAATCTTTAACTTTGATTTGCTTTAAATGTTCTGGATATCAGGGCTTTTCATGTTTTGGACTTGTTGATTACATAACAAAAGAAATCCCCAAACTGTGCCTGTCATAAAGAAGAGAAATAAATACTTCAAAATGATTGCTCAATTATCCCCAAAAGGCAAATTCTCATAATACTCTATTATGTGATAGCGTTGAATCCTGAAAGATGTCACTTGTAATTTTCGTGTAGTCCTGGACCATTTTCATGTTTTTCTTAAGGACTTGACTCAGTTCAAGGTTTTCAGACTGAATAATATACGTAAATGTTGCAGGTACTTCAAAATGTTGATTGGTGTTTTTTATTTTAGGTTTATCATGTTGAGCTGAGAACTTACTAATACTATTTTGTCTAATATGAAGATGCCACTAAACAGTTTAACATATCCTTGAACTCTCTATGTTTCTACATCCAGATTTTTGTGAAACAAGAAAATCTGAAATCTAAACTTTATAAAATAATTGGTTTTTTCCAGGTGCCCCTTTGCCTAAAGCGGATGTTTCTGAGCCCCTGACTGTCAGCTCACCAGTGAAGAGAGCTCGAGGTGCAGATGCTCTGAGTGAAGAGGAAGAGCAAGTAAAAGAAGACCCCGTGACCATCTCTGAACTAGCGTACAGTCCCAGCGCCAGCCTGCTCCCCACCCCAGTGGATGATGACGAAATCGACATGCTCTTTGACTGTCCGTCTAGGCTCGAATTGGACAGAGAAGACACGGATTCATTTGAGGAGCTGGACGCAGATGAAAATGCCTTTCTGATGGCTGAAGAGGAGGAGCTGAAGGAAGCCCGTCAAGCTTTGTCATGGAGCTATTCCATCCTGACTGGCCGTATCTGGGTCAACCCCCTGGTCAAGAGTTTCTCCAGGCTCCTTGTGGTGGGCCTGGGACTGCTGCTGTTTGTATTTCCCCTGCTCCTCCTCCTCTTGGAGTCAGGTATTGATCTCTCCTTCTTATGCGAAATCCGTCAGACACCAGAGTTTGAGCAGTTTCACTATGAATATTACTGTCCCCTGAAGGAGTGGGTGGCTGGGAAGGTCAACATTCTCCTCTACATGCTGGGTTGTTCCTAGGTTCATATCTGGAAAGACTAAGGGCTATCTTCAATACTAGTGGTATTATTTTCAGTACCTGCTAGGTTTTGATTGGCCTTGAGTTGTCAAAACATATTCTTTTCACCTAACTGACTGCTCAAACCTTGAAATTAGTTTTCATTAAATTTAATTTAAATCAAATATAACTCTTTTAGTTATCTTTCAGAAAAACAACCTTGAAGTAACAAAGAAAAAATATTCTCCTTATCATACCATAATATGTAGTACATTGGAGTTAGGTATTCCTGTTTCTTTGCTGTGAACTATAATGTTCAGAATTTTAGTAAAAATACAAGGGAAATCTTTTTAATATAACCTTTGGTGAAAATAATATCCTCTTACTGATGCCTATACAAATAAGTTGATGCTGGGTTTTTCTTTCAGTTTTTTTTCAAAAAAATATTTTTATGTGTTCTATTTTGGTAATTTTTTTAGCAAAAAAAAGCTTTCTGGAGTTATTTAAGTATACATATTGTACTAATGCACACGGAATTTTTTAGTGTTTTGGCACATGATTTTTTAAAGATATTTTTTGGCTAATGAATCCCATAATTTATTACCTGCATATGACTTTGAAAAATGATAGTAAGAAACTTTAATAAGTACTCAAAACAGATGTGAGCAAGGAGAACATTAAGTTGGCATTGTGAGGTCTAGTTTTCAAATTTTTTGACAAGATAATCTTATCATTTCATTTGCATTTTGCCCTTATATTTGGGCAGGGGAAGCAGAGTGTTTTTTAAAAAGTTGAAACTACTTGTAATAGTAAAATTGTAGAAGATCCACTAGTTGATTGTTTATTGTTTACTAATCTCTGTGAAAGCAGACAGGATTTTGGCAAATAGAAGGTAGGAAAGAAGAGTTCTGGTGAGATGCCTAGGAAAGCGATGATAAGCTTATGGCTGCCTTTATGGGAGTGATGGTGATACATGGCACTCAGTGTAAAAGCTGTGCGCTCGCTTTCTGAGTTCACAAGAATCACATTCAGTTAATAAAAGTGGAGACATTTTAAGGTAAATTTTTGGGATACCTCATGCATTACATTGTGATTCTCTGGATGAAATTTCAAGGGTGTGTATGTGTGTCTATGTGTGTGTATGTGTGTGTATGTGTGTGTAAGAGACAGAGATAGAGACAGACAGACAGAGGGAAGAGAGAGAAAGGAGAGAGACACAGAGAGAGAGAGAGAGAGAGAGAGAGAGAGAGAGAGAGAGAGAGAGAGAGAGAGAGAGAGAGAGATTCCCTTTATGGATTTCTTTTAGTTCTGAACACTTCTAATTAAGGCTTCCATTGAACATTGAAGTAAACCATCAACTGACACACCAATTCTATTTGGGTGAAGTAGACAATGAAGTAGAGAAAAACAGACAAAAAATGATAAATCCTGTCACACATTCCTTCATATCAGTGAACACAAGATAGAAAACATCTGGTGCTTTCCATTGCTGGTCACTTACCAACACCGTATAATGAGTAAGAAACAAAGGAGTATGATGATTACCACATAATTTTTGCCTATGTTGAAAATATCCCATTGCCTTTGATTATGAAGAGATTGAACACACAAATTGAGCACTACAGTCATGCTAACTTAGTGATGCACTGAATGTTTTATTAGATGATTATTTTGAAAGTGAACTTTGAAAGTCAGGTCTTGGGATTTTTGAGTTAAATGCATTATAATATATACTTGCTATTGCATCCATGATTTATAAAGATATAGAAATATATTTTCTATGACTTGGATATTAAGCCATTTTTTGTAAGTTTGCTATTGATCAGCATCTTGACGTTCCAATTTTTTTCTCTTTTTCTCTCATATGACCTTGAAGTCATACTCTCTGGCATGAAGAAACTCCAGTGGAGTTGGTAGACAATTACTCACCCTTTTAATTGTGCTATGTATTTTCTTTGAATCACTGACCAAGATAACTCATCTGACCTTCTTATTTTAAAAATAGTACTTACATGAAATAGTATTTTAAATTGTGGAGATAGCATGTCTATATTATAAAATATAAAAAGAAAATAAGACAGCTATAACATGTAGTACATGCATGCAGATTTGTAATGAGGAGCAAGATGCAGATAGTTTTAACTTTTACAACTTACATCACCCTTCTCTTGAGGAAAAATTCATTGTGGAGTAGAAATACTTTTATGGAAAGACAGAATAGGGATTGCTAAATTAAAACAATAATGATAAAGCCTAGCACTGGGATCCTATAATGTCATTTATTTGATATAGAATTAAACCCTTTAAGAAATATCCATTTATTGTTACAAAGATTTCATCAGTTGTTCCAATCAAATGAAGGGATTCTTCAAAGGATGGCCAGTATATAAAAAATAAGATTGAGATCTCAAAACAAGTACATGAGCATTTGAATATTCTGTATCATTGGTATATGTGTATTTATAAAAGATATGTATGTATGTGTTTGTATAGATTAGCCCACATGCCTTTCATACATACTTGTGCTAATTTTTCCCCGGTGAGGAATTTGTGGAATACTTTTATTCCTTTCCCTCTCAGATATTGTGATATGATTTGTAGAGCCTTAGGTGCTTAATTATTTTATGAAAGTACACTTGTGAATTCGTGTATATACACAGAAAGAAAGAGAGAGAGCAAGTTAATGTACACACAGTTGTCTTTAGTGCTGATATGAGCACTATAATGATAATGATGTAGGTAAAGGATCATATATTTCTGAGCTTGGAACATAATGTGTGTTATGTATTTACAGTATATTTTGTAGTTTGTCTAATATTTATGATCATAACTCTGGGAAGAATTTACAATGAGTTAATTTCATTTAAGTAACAAGAGATATGGGGGCTATATTACTGTTATTGAAGCTGTATCTTTGTATAGTGGAATTAGCCTTTCTCTGTCAACATCCAGATTGCTTGTCTGTTAATATGGTGGCAGGAATCACTAATAAAAAAAAACTCTGGGGTAAAATACTTTTTCAATCATTCAGTTTTATTTTATGTAAAGTAATGGGTGGAAACTATAGGAGTGTGTGTGTTAGGTAATGAAGGAGATTACCTAATATTCTACTGAAGTTACTAAGGTCCAAGCAGAAAAATAAGCACTAAAAATGTACTCCAGTTTAAAAGAAACAATTGGTCAAATTAATGGCATTCAGATAGAGAAATACGCTTGGGACTCCGTCTTTTGTGCAGAACCATGCTCCAAGCCCCACTTAGTTCTTTTCCATTGCCCTTTTCAACCATTTCTTCTAACCTATCTTCATTCCCTTCTGACACACAGAAACTGTTTATACCAGAGACACAGAGCCGCCACAATTGTCTGAAAACCATTAAACCCAAGGAGATCAAAGACCACATGTTTTCTCCTTCCTGTTATACTTTTCCTCTTTCCTAGACTCACTGTAGGTCTCTTCTGACTTACTCTTAGGCATGCCACTTCCTACCTACCTCAGTCCCTCCTCCCAGCCTACTTCTGTCCTTTTGGAACTTGGGTTGGTGCAAACCCAGGTCCAAAGTAGCCTTTGCCATGCATTCAAAAAATCCACAGCATTCCTTTGTGACTCCCCATGGAAATGCTTAATGAACCACTCTCTACCAGGAACCCCACAACCTCAACACTAGGGTAGGAATCAGGGACCTCATAGTACCACACTGGGCTAGGATCCAGATTGTGCAACAACAACCAAAGAAAAGAACACCCACACAACAAAGGCAAGACACCAAAATCACTTCAAATGTCATAATTCCAGATGTCTGAATCCCAGCCAAAAAAAAAAATATATATATATATATGAACAATCAAAACAGTGTGTCTCCTCCAGAAGCCAGAAACCCTATTGTGATATGTCATGAGGAAAGAAATTTAGCTGAAACACAAGACAAAGACTACAAAATAGCAGTTATGCTTATGTTCAAGGACTTCAACAAGTATATAAATAAACATCTTAATGAAGACCATAACAACACAAACAACTAAATAAAAAATTAAAATAACTCCAAAAATGAAAATAGGAAAAAATAGAATCACTAAAGAAAACAAAAACTGAAATAAACAGGTGATGGAAAAACTCAAGTTGTGAAACAAAAGGCTCAGAGATGATCCTTACCAAAAGATTGAAAGACAAGGAAGAAAAAATTTTAAGAATTGAAGACAAGGTAGAAACAAATGGGTAGTTCAGTCAAAGAAAATGGTTTTTTTGTATGTATGTTTTGTTTTGCTTTAGTTTCTTCAAGACAGGATTTCCCTATGTAGACTTGGCTGTCCTGGAACTCTCTTTGTAAACAAGGGTGGCTTCAAACTCACAGATATCTGACTGCCTCTGCCTCTTCAGCACTGGGACTAAAGGCATGCACCACCACTGCCTGGTGAAAATGTTAATTCTTTAAGAAATCCAAGCATAAAGCATTCAGGAAATCTATGAGAAGAGTAAAATTATAAATAATAGGTATGGAGAAAGGAGAAGAAATCCAAGTAAAAGCCATAGATAACACTTTAAACAAAATAATAGAAGATAATTTCCCAATCTAAAGGAATTGATCAAAGTACAGGAAGCATAGACAACACCCAATAGATAAGAACAGAAAGTAAATTCCCTATCACACATATTATTCAAAACACTAAATGTACAGAACAACAGGTTTTGAAAGCTGCAAGTGGAAAAGACCATGTAACATAAAAAGAAAGGGCCATTAGAATAACACCTGTTTTTTGTGGAGACCCTGAACATCAGCAGGACCAGATCTGAGAGATGTCAGATCACAGTCCATACTACTATACCCAGAAACACTATCAATTACAACTGACAAAGAGAAACATTCCACAGTGAAAGCGTATTTAAGCAGTGTCTATCAACACAGCTCTTTAGAAGGCACTAGAAGGAAAATATCTCTGAAAGTTGGCTGCATCCAAGACAACACAAGTAATAAATAATCCCAGAACAAACAATCAAAAGAGAGGACAAAGTCCAAACCATAACAAAACAAATTACAGGAATTAAATATTATTCACTAATAACTCTCAATATGAATAGTCTCAATTCCCCAATTAAAAAATACAGATTAGCCGGGCCTTGGTGTCACATGCCTTTAATCCCAGCACTTGGGAGGTAGAGGCAGGCGGATCTCTGTGAGTTCCAGTCCAGCCTGGTCTACAGAACAATATTTCTTATGAACATATGTCTTAGTTACTTTTTTATTGCTATGAAGAGACACTATGACCGAGGCAACTTATAAAAGAAGGCATTTAGTTATTGGTTTGATGACTGTTTCATAGGGTGAGTTCATGACTATTATCATAGTGGAGAGTATGTAAGTAGGCAGGCAGTCTTGGTATTAGAGCAATAGCTGAGAGCTTATATTTTTTTAGGGCCTCACATGAACCTTTAAAGCCTCAAAGGCCATCTCCAATGACACACCTACTCAAACAAGATCATAGCTCCTAAGACATCCTATGGTAATTTGAATAAAAATGGCTCATGTATTTGAATATTTAGCCATTAGAGACAGTAACTATTTGAAAGGATTAGAAGGTGTGGCATTGTTGTGGTAGGTGTTGCTTTGTTGGAAGAAGTGTGTCATTGGGAGTGGGCTTTGAGTTTCCAGAGCACAGTTCTTGTGCTCTCTCTCTCTCTCTCTCTCTCTCTCTCTCTCTCTCTCTCTCTCTCTCTCTCTCTCTCTCTCTCTCTCTCTCTGTCTCTCTCTCTCTCTCTCTCTCTCTGTCTCTCTCTCTCTCTCTCTCTCTCTCTCTCTCTCCCCCTTAGATCAGAATATAGAACTCGCAGCTACTTCTCCAGCACTATGTCTACTTGCACACCATCATGCTGCCCACCAAACCTCTGAAATTATAAGCAAGCTCCCAATTAAATGTTTTCTTTTATAAGAGTTACCATGGTCATGGTGTCTCTTCACCACAATAGACCAAGAAATTTCCCAAAACATTTCATCAATTAGGGATCAAGCATTCAAATATATGAGTCTATGGGGGACATTTTTATTCAAACCACTACAAAATAGGTGCAAAAATGCTCTATAAAATACTTCCAAACTAAATTACAAAACACATTAAAAAGATTATATAACCATGATCAAATTATCTTCATTCAGAGATACATATATGCAAATCAACATATGTAAATCAATAAATATAGCCCAACATATAAACAGACTGAATAACAAAAAACACATAATATTCTCTTTAGATGCAGAAAAGCTTTTTGGTACAATTCAACCTCCCTTCAAGATAGAAGTCTTGGGAAATTAGGCATACAAGGGACATATCACAGCATAATAAAGGTAATTTACAGTAACCCTACAGCCAACATCATCTTACATGGAGAGAAATTCAAAGCATTTCCACTAAAATCAGGAAGAAGACAAGAATGTCCACTGTCTCCATACTTATTCAATAATAGAACCTGAAGTCTGAGCAAGAGCACTAAAACAACTGAAGCAAATCAAAGGGATACAAATAGGAAAGGAAGGAGTCATAGTACCCCTTTTCCCAAATATATCTTTTTGTACATAAAGGGCCCTAAAGATTTCACCAGAAAACCACTACAGCTGATTAACACCTTCAGAAAAGTAGTGGGATACAAAATTAACACATGAATCAGTAGAATTTCTATATACAAAAGACAAACATACTAAGAAAGACATTAGGGAAACAGTGTCTAAAAAAAAAAAACCAATAAGCCAGGCATTGGTGGCACACGCCTTTAATCCCAGCACTCAGGAGGCAAAGGCAGGAGGATCTCTGTGAGTTCAAGGCCAGCCTGGTCTACAGAGCGAGTTCCAGGACGGGCTCCAAAACAATACAGAGAAACCCTGTCTTGAAAAACAAACAAACAAATAAATAAAGCAATAAAAAACAACACAATTATTCACAGAAATTAAAATGTCAGTCTTCAACCTAATAATGAAACACAAAAAAAGCCCAGGATAGCTAAGAAATATCCAGAAAAATAAAAGAACTCAAAGAGCTATCACCATCACAGATTTTAAGTTGTATTGACGAGCACTGGCATACAAACAGACACATTGAAAAACGGAAACTTATCAAAGATGCTAACATAATTCCAAACACCTATGGACCCCTGTTTTTTGACAAGAGAGCCAGAAATGTATACTGGAAAAACAACAGAGCTTCTTTAACACACATTGCTGGTCAAAGCAAATGGCTGTGTGTTAAAGAGTAAAAACAAGTGGATCCTGGTGGATGAAGGACCTAAGTGTAAGACCAGATTCCCTGAATCTGATAGAAGGTAAAATAAAGAATAGGCTTGAACTCATTGACACAAGAAAGGACTTTCTCAGGAGAACAATGATAATATAGGCACTAAGACCAACAATTAATAAGTGGGAACACATGAAGCTAAATTCAACAACAACAACAAAATTTTCTGTGTAGCAAAAAATACCATCATGTGTGCGAAAACACGAGCCTACTGAGTGAAAAAAATCTTTACCAATTATGCATCTGATAGAGGATTAGTGTTTAGAATGTACATATATATATATATATATATACTGAACTTTAAGAAAATAAACATAGCTGGGTGTTGGTGGCACATGCCTTTAATCCCAGCAATCAAGAGGCAGAACCAGGTGGATCTCTGTGAGTTTGAAAATTGCTTGATCTACAGAGTGAGTTCCAGGATAGCGAAGGCTACACAGAGAAACCCTGTCACCCCAAGAAAAGAAGGAAGGAAGGAAGGAAGGAAGGAAGGAAGGAAGGAAGGAAGGAAGGAAGGGAGAGAGGAAGGAAGGGAAGATGAACAAACAAATATCATAAATAAAAATGAGATATAAAGTTAAACAGAATTCTCAAAAGATTAAAAAAAACAACAAATGACTGAGAAGGATTAAACATTCTTAGCCAGCAGAAAAAAATTCAGATTGCTTTGAGATTTCTTCTGACCCCAGTGAGAATGGACATCAATAAAACAGTTGACAGCACTTACTGAAGAGTGT